AACTCATAGCAATCTTCCTGCCTCAGCCTCCCGAGTGCTAGGATTACAGGCATGAGCCACCATGCCTGGCTCTAGTATATAATTTTTGATGAAAATAATATATAAAAGTTTTCCCTTCTGCAGGGCCCTTGGGTCTGAGGATCTGCTAGACAAAACTTCCCCTGTGGCTGAAACAGCAGCTTCCTGAATCAATTTGCTTTAGTTTTCTCCACGACTGAGTGGCTGTTCTGGTTTTCCCCAGAGTCTTACTGTGCCCCACCTAATGAATGTTTTTAAGACATAATTATATATAATTAAGTTGGCTATATTTAAAAAGTTAGTTCCAGAGTTTTCTGTGTCTTAAGCAATAAGGTTTTCTTAAGATGTTAAAGTGCTATCGGTTAAACTTGCCAAAAGCTAGATTAGGAAATAAAAGTTTTTCTCTCTATTAAGAAAATGTATTGTCTTTTCTGCTGTTAGGCTTTTTAATACTTAAACTAAGTTTAAGAGTTAAAGTTTAAATATTTGCTTGTTCTGAGATCTTTTCAGTAATGTTTCTGATCAGTTCAATGGCAGTGAGCAACTGATTAAAAAAGAAGCAAGAGTGAAAGGAAAGAGATAAATTTACTGTCTACTAGAATAATCTAGGTACAAGATGAAGCTAGAACCATGGCAATAGCCTGATACAGTAAATTATTATTATTATTATTAGTTTTGTTTTGTTTGTTTGTTGGTGATCCTCCTGCCTCAGCCTCCAGAGGTGTGAAGATATGGCTCTACCTGGGACTCTGGATGAAGTTGAACGGAAGAAGGTAAATGCTACTTACAGAAGCACCACGAAGAAAGACTTTCCCCCTCTTGCCATTATACGCTGATGTGAGAGAACATGAGAAATTAGGGTGCTACAGGTGTCTTTCTGCCACCCCACGGGGATCTACCATCTCCCTGCCACAGTAAGGTAGAAAAAAACAGGACAGTTAGACAGGATTTCCAGCTCTTCAGAGCACAAAGAATGCATTTTGATTGAAACTCTTGTCATATGTTTTAATTCTACTTTATATTTTCATACCACAGTTCTCACATAAATTGAAATAAATCATTTCTTCCTCTGGGGAACAAAATCACGTTAAAGTTGAGACCCATCCTGTAGCAGAACAGACATCATGATCAGCACATGTGATTCACATGGGAAAATCCGCTTTGTGTCAGTGACTCACAAGGTAATTAATGGAGTTTCAATTACTTATGAGCAAGAGCTGTATACGACAGTGGATAATTTATGTTCAAATGACTGTCATTCTGAAATAAACTTCTGGATTATGCACTTTCTGATTCTTTTACATTTGAAACTCTTTGAAAGGAACAGAAGAGTAGAACTCCCCTTTTTCTCATCCAACGCATGTGCTGTCCCTGACACGCATCCAGCCCCTCTGTGTCAGCTATCATTAGCTGTCATGTATGTCGTGACATCTATGAGCGGAGATCTGTGCACTAACTTGCACTAATATTTACATAATCTTTTGAGCAAGGGCTTTTGTTTTTCCAATTTGTATCTTGACAGATAATTCTGGTCAAGTTTGTTTCAATTGTTATAAATCCATTTTGCATTTTTAGGCATTGGGTTTTAAATTTCAATCTAATTTCAAAATATATTTTAAATTAAAAGTAAAACCTGTATGTATTTATGTTGTAGAGCATGAGATGTGTTATCTGTAGACACTGGGGAATGGCTAACCCAAAGTACTTAACAGATGCATGCATCCCTACCACAATTACCATACCTCAATGAAAGCCAAGTTGTGTTGCGGTGCTACCCTCCTTGTCTTAGTTACTCTTCTCTCCTTGCTGACAAAATCACTGACGCCCAAACATAAAGGGGAAATAGTTTATTTACTCACAGTTTGTACAAGTTTCCCTCCATAACTGACTGGCTGCAAGGCAGAGTGGCTCATGGCGGAGGGATATTGCAGAGGAGAAATAATTCGTGGCACCCACGAGGTATCGAAAGCAACAAGAGAACCCTAACAGTGTCTTTCTGCCCCTTCTGTCTTACCAGGCTGCCAGGATCAGGGTGCTGCCAAAGCAATCAGTGTCATGGTTTAGTAATCGCACGCCCTTGATCCCAGCATCATTCTAGACAAAGCCGCCTATGATCCCCCTTTAGGGGGACATCTAGACCCAAAGCATAACGTTCTGCTCCTGGCCCTCCAAAGATACGTGTCCATTAATTTACACAGAATGTATTTAGTCCATTTCCAAGAGTTGCCAAAGTCTTAACAGTTTCAGCACTGCCGAAAAGTCCAAATCCAAAGTCTCCTCTGAGATTTAAGACAAATTCTTAGCTGCGAGTCCCTGTATCAATGAGAAGAATATTAAACACCTCCAACATTCAATGGCACAACATGGACGTTAGCATTCCAAGGGTACAAATGGGGATAGCGAGGGATGCCAGCAAAACAAGGGCAAACTCCAGCGGGGCTGACATTAAATCCCACAGTTCCGCTTCCAGAGTCTGAGGCAATCTGTTGCCAGTTGGACTCCGCAGGGTTTGGGGAGCTCTGCCCTGAGAACTTACTCGGAGTTGTACCTCCCATGGCTTCTCCCGTGGGCCGGCTCAGCTCCCTCCTTGCAGTTTTCCTCAATGGTCCACGTTCCTGGCTTCTCCAACATCTGGGGTCTCCACTGCACCATCTGCTTCACACTCACAGCTTCACACACTGCCCTCTGGGGCTCCCTGCAGGCCTCCCAGGCCTTCCTCTGACATCTGGGTGGAGCCTTCCCGACCCCACAGCTCTTCCATCTGCGTGCGCCGCAAACCAGTGCCATGTGGATGACGTCAAGGTCTTGCTGCCTCCTGGAGCAGGAGCCAGGCTTCCCTCTTTCTTGGCTGGAAGGATCCTATGTGTGTGTGTGTGTGTGTGTGTGTGTGTGTGTGTGTGTGTGTGTGGATAACTAAGGACTCTGAACCCAATCCTGAGGACCAAATTCTCTAGGCTGCTGCCATTCTGCAACATGGTGTTCAGAGGCTTTCTTCTCAAAGCAGTGTCTTTCAGGTCTGGGGATTTAGCTCAGTGGTTCTGCCACCTGCCTCACAAGTACAAGGTCCTGAGTTAGATCCCCAGTACAAAGAAAAGGAAAGTCTTTCACTTTTGCAATCTTGAGGCTGCAAAGGGTGGAATCCTGGTGCTTCTTGTGATGCCCTCGGTCAGTCTTTTCTAATCTCCTGTTCCTTCTCAGCAATGAAGATCTCCTCTGCTCTATCTTTACAGTATGCACCTTTACTGGAGCTTCCTTTCTGGGAAAATCCACAACATTTTCAATCATGCTGCTGAGCTCTTTGCTCTTGATTTTCAACATAGATCTGACTAAAAGCCCCCCACAGCAGTCATGTCACAGCCTCAGCATTTGGCTGCCTTGAAATTTCTTCTACAAGATCACTTAATCCACCATCCTTAATCTGTCTCAGGCCGAGTCTCGACACAAGTAAAATGCAGACAAATTTTTAGCCATAGAAATAATACGCGTCCTCTGGAGTCCCACAGCCAATGCAGCCCTTCTTCCTAGCAGAAACCTCCTGCGCCTGGTGTTTCCCAGAAGAATTTCTGGCAGCCTTCTGGTCTTCTGAGCCCTGAGCAGACTCTCCCATCGAGTACCACCTACTGCGCTCCCCCTCCATTTTTTCATCCAGCGTCTCTGAACCTTTCCGAACTCTTCCCATAAAGCCAGTTCCAAAGGCTCCTGACCACATGGTCAGGTACAGTCATGGCAATGGCTCCATTCCCAGTACCAAATTTCTATCTTAGTTACTTTTCTCTTATTGCTGAGACAAAATACACTACACCCCAAGGGAAAGGGAAAAGGGTCTATTTAGCTCACACTTTTAAATAACTTTCACTCCACAGTCAGCCGGCCCCAAGACAGAGAGGCACATGGCGGAGGGGCATTAGAGAGGAGAAACAGGTCCTGGCACCCACATGGTAGCAAGAGAAACAAGGGAACCTTAGCAGTAGTGTCTTTCTGTCCCTTTTATCTTATCCATGCTACCAGGATCAGGGTGCTGCCAAACCAATCAGTGTAATAGTTTAGTAATCAGAGGCCCTTAATCCCAGCATCACACACTCTAGAGTCAGCCACATCTGAAAAAGCCATCTATGACCGCGTAAGTGGACATGTAGGGGGTCACGTAGACCCAAAGCATAACATTTCTATCCTCTTTTGTCTTTTTGTCTTCAAAACTGTAGGAAGCCCATGATTTTTTTCGGAGAAAATAACAAAGCAATGCTCCACAGGGTGAGTTCAGAAGCACGAACAAAGGGGCCAGGAGAACGAAGGGAAGCCCTGGAGTCCACGGAGCAGAAGAGGCCATCAGGGAGGGCGCCTTCTGTGTGGTCCTGGGCGCGGGAGAGCCTCTCTCTCCGGGATGTGTGGTCCTGGGCACGGGAGAGCCTCTCTCTCTGGGAGAACGGGCCGAGCAGGAAGCCGGTCACCATGTGGCAGGGTTGCAGAGAAGCAGGGACACAACTCCTCCCTGCAGTGCTGTCACCTTCACCTTAGCTCAGGAGTCCTGAGGGGCAGAGGACAGCAGTGATTCCTGAGCTGACTCTGACTGCAGCTCCTCTCTCCTCTCAGGACAGCACTGCAGTGAGAGAAGAAAAATCTCTAAGTCTCCCTGAACCGATGCTACCTCAGAGCACAGCATTTTATTAAGTGAAGTGAAGAAGGTTTAGGGCAGCTGCCTGACCAGAACTTTATATCCAAAATCTTTCACATTATCTGTTTCCTCTTTCATCCCTGTTACAGGCCGTTGAAGGTAAAGCGAATCTGTCCGTGAGGCAAGTTTCCAGGACGTTACCTATTGGCTGAACTTCAGAGTCTCCTGGAAAGAGAGGGGAAAGAGAGACTTAATAGACATGAAGGCAAACCTGTCCCCAACAAAGTTCTCTTAGTGTCACACCTGCCACCTGGGAGTTCTTTCATGCTACAATCCCCGTAAATCCCCCGTTCAGTGCCCTTCCTTATTCATCCTCAGCTCTCCGCCCAGGACTTCTAGGGTACTCAACTTGCTCCTTGTCTCATCAGAAAGAACAGCCCCTGGTTTCAAATAAGAATCTACAATTCCTTTCTAAACTCTCAGGAAATGTAAGGTAACCTGAGGTAAGAAAGGCTTCCTGAAGAAACACCAAACTACCATGAATCCTTCACAGCAAAACAGTCTGTGCCCCCTGAGAAAGAGTACGGAGAGGCTGAGGCACCAGTAGGCTTCTTACCTTTCTGATTCCTGCAGTAGATGAACAGCCCCGCCCCCAGGAAGAGCAGACCCAGCATAAAGCCCCCGACTCCACTCAGCATCTTGCTCCGTGCAGATCCAGACTGTGCCCCTGAGAGAAGGTGCCGGTTTAGGGATTATTTTCACCCAAAATCCCAGAACCCTCTTGAGACCCCAAGACTCAGAATTTTAGGACTAGAAGACTGATTCCTGCACTCAAAGCTAGATGTGGTCATTCCTGGGAAGAAAGATTTAAAAATTGCAAATAGAGTAGGTGTGAGGCTGATGCCCTGAATTCTCCTAAATCTCACTGCCCTGTAATAACCCGGATGTGAGCAGGGTCTGGAGCTCAGTGAGCTGAGCAGCCCTCCGGGAAGACAGAGCTGATGAGAGGCAGAGCTGAGGGCGCCTCCTCTCCTGCCAGGAAGACCCAGCACTGCTCCTCCTCCAGAGCACAGTGAACAGCCCAGAGCAGCAGCAGCAGAAACACAGGCCCAGCCCAGGGGAAGGGTGTGGAGTCAGGGCCCTGGGGTGACCATGACCAGTGACAGCATGAGAAGGTGCAAAGCAGGGACACTTCTCTTCCGTGGGACAGGCATCCTGCCTGCTGAAGGTGCGCAAGTGTTTATAGAAACTCTCCCGGTTCCACCCCTAGGAGTTGTCCCACTGGAGATCAGAGCATATTTCTGTAAGGGACGGGCAGGCTGACCCTCGGGGATAAGGGAAGAGCCCCTGTGTGCAGGACAGGAGCTCAGAAGGTCCGGCTTCCCACTCACTCCACTCCACGGTGACGGGGCTGCTCCAGCTCGGGTGCTCCACCCGGCAGACGTAAACCTCTCCGCTCCGAGGAACCGTTTCCAGCATGACCAGGGTCTGGAAGGTCCAGTCCCCGTTCCGGATCAGGCCTGTGGACACCACCCCGTCCTCCTGCTCCTGGCCGTTCCGGAACCACCTGACTTCGATGTGGCCGGGGTAGAAGCCACTCACAGAGCACACCAGGAGGCTGTGGTGCTGCAGGGCCTGGGTCTTGGTGGGGTACACGGTCACCTTGGGCTCCACTGGAGGAGAAGAGGCCGAGAGAGGGAGTCAGGCAGGCGGTGCCGTCCTTGGTCTCCTGTCCAGGGAGGGACCCAGGTCCTCACGGGCCTCCTCACACCTGCCTGGGGCCACAGGAGCCACTGTCAGGAGCCTGCAGTTTAATCCTCTCAGCAGGGCCCACTGGGTTTGAAAAGAAATGAACAGTTTTCATAGCTGGACCTGATCGCTCCTCACTGAGGAAGGCGCTCTCAGGGCTTTCCAAGGCCAATGAGGAGGGATGAGAGGGAGACTCGGGAGCCCTGAGGAGAAGGGAAGCAGCCGGGAGCCTCAGTCCTCTGCACAGATGCCCTCTCTGCCTCCCTGAGGAGCCCCTCTCCCTACCCAACACACCTGTCTCTTGTCGGGACTGTGACCAGGTTATCCTGGTCTCTTTCTCCACTGACGCTTGGAGTCCGCAGCAGGGTGTCCGGGACTTAATAATATGTGTGCTCCGTGCCTGTTACCGTCCTGTCAGTGCCACCCTCAGTGATTCATTTTCCAAATGAGAGCATTTTCCCAACGCCAGAGAACGACCTACAAGATTGCTGACAAATCGTTACTAACAATGCTGCCTCGTGTTTTATTAAATAAAATGTCTGCATTCTTCACAGGAGCACTATTAATAGAAACAAAGCATAAACCAGAAAATGGGGAAAACTCTGAATAAGATACAGACAAGATGTAAGAATATTTTTTATGAAGATTCAAAAAAATTAATGAGAAAACACTAGTACCCCAGACAAGAGGCAATTTTTAGAGTAATATTAATTGCAAATATATGTCATAAAAATGTTCAAAAAACTTATATATCAGAAAAATTAAATTTAAAATTTAAAAACATATACATTTAGAATACAGGTGGACTTCCATATCAAAGAGTTTCCCATTGGATGAATTTTCAGTGGGAAAATGTGTATACTGAAATAATGGAAAAAATGTGTATACTGAACACACTTTTTTCTTATCATCTTTCCTAAACAATGACAACTATGTAGATACATTTTCTGTATGTTAGGAATCATGCATAATTTAGATATGATTTAAAAATGTAAGGGAGAATATATATACATTATACACAAATATCCCACCATTTTGCCGAAAACACTCGAATATTCTTTCAGATTTTATTGTTCAAGGAACCAAATCCTGCCCACCCCACAATTAAGAGAGAACTGAATTTGTCAGTATTTAAAAATCATCTCTTCAGCTATGCAAAATTATATGCAGCAGGCAAGGCAAGGAGCCCTCAAGGAAGCCTGGGAAAGCTCACAGGCCCCTCACCCCTGCCCACTAGATCACCCTGACACCTCTCTCCCTGAGGTGCTCTGCTCACACAGCGCACTGTGTCTCCTGGGCCCCTCTGTAGAGAAGGCTGGGAGCCCAGGCCAGGCTGTAAGCAGCCTCCCCACAGCACCCCAACCGCTGACACCCGATGCCCTGCACCTGCTCCCCAATGGAAGA